TTTTAATAGGAAGTACAGCTCTCAAAAATGTCATCAGCTCCTTCCACTTAACTCCAGTCTTCTCTGTTCCCAGAGAACACTCACAACTTAAGAGATGTGTCTTCTTTTCCATATTCTGGGCACCACAAGGGACTGAGGACTTGTGGGAGAGCCATAGAAGTTTACTATTTACTGTCCTCTTTCCAGAGTTGTGTCTCCCAGTTTTTTCCCCATTTATTAGTAGTAAGCATCAGGAGTATACCTTTGGTTTATATTTTTAGTTCACAGGCCTTTTAAGGCTTATCTTTTACTGGCTAAAGATGAGAATCATTACTATATTCAAGTCAGAAGGCACATTTCTGGAATCTTACATTTCTCTTTCATGTCCACTTATACGCTGGCCACTTGAGTTGGCTTCTTTTGTTTCTTCTATTTTGTCACTAGCAGGCAATAGTTATCAAAACATTTTCTTGACTTTTGTTGCCTAGTGCTGCCTGAGAGAAAGCCACAAGTTTACTACTGCAACTATCTTTATCAGCTATCATAGGTGAGAGTTATACCCAATTCCACTTTCCATCTCCAAAGGACAGCTCCTCATTGCTGGGCACCTGGCCCTAAGCTAGGACCGTGTGTTAGGATTTGTTAGCGTAACATTTTAAGAACTGATTTCTGATAAACCAGAGAGGCAGGACACCTTATAGACTTCCTGTCTCACAGCAAGAATCACCTGTTACAGTTTCTTTTTTTTTGTCATTGCTACATTCCATCATTGTGATCACAAGCGATCTCCATGATTTCTCCTAAACCCTATCTTTATATGTAACTATTCAGCCTCCAAAGTTTTCCTAGGAAACTGTTACTTCTTTGAAAAATGTTATTACATATTTTTGATTACTTGCTTTTTTGCTTGTTGCTTTTGGAACAACAGAGCATTTATAAGCTGCAGGCATTCTTAAGTACATTTGATCTGCATTTTTACCATGTACTATTCTGGTCCTCTGTTTGGAACATAAAAATCATTTCCACAGCAACTAATTATAGTATAAGTCACAAATGCCAAATTACTACTGCTGTGGAGGTTGGAAGCAAACATCATGCAAAGACTGAAAGCCTCTTATTTTGGAAATTCTTCACTGAACTATTACAAGCTAATAAAATACAGAAAAGACAGAGAATATCCAATGCAGACATGAACTTTTCACATCAGTTTTATGTACGATAAGCTTGACACAAATCTGGAGAGGAAGATTTTCTGTCTCATGTTAAATCTTTGCTAAAAATCAGTTGAGCATACCCGTGAGGGACTGTTCTGTGCCTCATTCCTGCTCTGCTGGTCTATGTCTCCAGCCCTCTATAACATCACTATTTGTTTATCACTGTACACTAAATCTCACCAGGTAAAGTGACCACTGTAGCTGGTCTAACATTTCCTCCCATGCTTTCCACATACATTTTAGATAAGCTCCTCTATGTATATAAACGTACTACTCAGACTTTAAAAGAATTGCGCTCTCTCTCCTCTCTCTCTCTCTCTCTCTCTCTCTCTCTCATCTATCTCTATCTATCTATCTATCTATCTATCTATCTATCTATCTATCTATCTCCATATAAATATATGGATCTATTTAGGAGGATTGATATATGTATACTGAGTACAAACACAGTATGTCTCTTGATTTATTATATCTTTGATTCTTTCCTTAGCATTTTCTAATTTTAGTCATAAAATGTTTGCTGACTGAATAATTAAGAACAGGTACTCCCTGACTTATGAGTGGGTTTTATCCTGCAAGCCTATTTAAAATGGAAAATATTTTGAGCTGAAAACGAACTTAGTGCAGCTAAACTCCTGCACACCCTAGTTTAGCAGCACAACACAGGGCAGAGCATTGCTTCTCCCTTTGCCTGCCTGTCTGAGGATGGCATCTTACCAGCACTGCCTAGTGTGGAGAGAGCACCAAACTGCATAGCACGAGCATAGAAAGTGATCCAACTCCAAACTCCAATGTCCGGCTCTAGCTACCTGGTTTTCACACCAGGGTAAAGTAAGAACATCCATGTTGGGGTGTGTGCAGTCTCTCTAGAGAGGCCATAAATAACTCAGGAGGCAGAGGCAGGCAGAGCTCTGAGTTAGAGGCCAGCTTGGTCTGTAGAGTGAGTTCCAGGACAGTCAGGACTACACAGAGAAACCCCTGTATCGAAAAATCAAAACCAGCCAACCAAACAACCCAAACAAACAAATAAACAAAAAACAAAACCAAAAAAACTAAATATCATTTAGCTTTTTAAAAGAATTAAACAATTTTTTTTTACCTAATTGAGGTTGTTCCCCTCTATTTATAACTTATTGGGGATTTTTTGTCAAGAATGTTGAATTTACTTTACCACAACTAACGTGGTCCTATTATTTTTATTCTTCAGTTTGATTTTATGACAATTTACATTGATAGATTTTTAAAGTTGAAATACTGTTTCACTGCTAGGATAAATCTCTCTTGGACATGGCATATAATTTCTATACATTGTTGGATTTGAGTTTCTATTATTTTTGTGAAAATTTTTTTTGCCTATATCCCAGTAAATTCATAAGTAACATTAGTTTGCTCTCTGCTCCAGTTTTAATTTTTTTGTACTGGTTTCACCAAATGAATTGAAAAGCGATTGACCTACTCCTATTTTGTATAAACTGATGTCAGTTCTCCTTTATAGACCTGGTTAAATTCTCAGTAAAACTATCTAGGCATGGACGATTATTTTTCAGGAGTTTTCAAGTTACAAATATAATTGTTTAGTTAGTTTTAGTAGTTTGCGGAGGTTAAGACACTGTCTTCTTGAGAATGAAGTTGTTTCTTGAGTGCCCTTGTACTCTGAGGAAAGAGCTGTGGGAACAGGAGAACACAGCACGTGAGCAGAGTGGCTTTTCAGAGCTCTAGCCTCTTAGGTAGAGGACATCTACTTCTGAGACAGAGGCAAGCAGGCATCTGTGGGACATGAGAAGTCTTTGGAGAGGTTGGTGACTGGGTGTCAAGAACAAATGGGCTCAATCACTCTCACAGCACGGGTTTCTCTAGTGCTCAGGCTATGAGATTGAGAAGTGGCTGTGGATATCACACACAGCAACCAGTGCAGAGGGCAAAGGCACCCTCATCCCAGAGAGGACAGCCACTAGAGCTGGGCACAGGTGAGGGGGGCTAAGTGATGCTTCATGTATATCCTGTGGACCTGGACTACATGTCAAGAAGATTAGACCTTGAAGCTCAGTGTGGTGAAGGAAAGAGAACGACAATCACCACATGTGTGACAGGTACAGGACAAGGAAGTACTGGACAGTGAGCATGGGAGCAGGTCGGTGAGGATCAAAATGTGCATCTGGTGGCATTAAGATTCAGGAAGGAAGCATCTGAGAGAGGACCTTGGCCAGGTTCAAATATATGAGACTATCAGGGCCATTCTTACCCAAACCGTCACACTGTTATTCCATTTGTATCTGTCTATTTCCCTGTTGCCCCCATCAAAAACAATTTCCACGGTCACTTACTCAAGTTCAGCTTAGCATTCAGTATTAGCTTAGAGTTCAGTAGTACAATATTCTCACCCCAATACTAGCTTTCTTACATAAAATATTTCCTGACTTTTATTACTCAAATAAGAATCTGTGGCCCTGGTATGCTGGTGAATGCATATGATAGCCTAGACTCTCAGTCTCCACTCACCCCATACTTATTGAGCAGATGCACTGCAAGACCCAGAGCTTAGTAGGGTGCAGCAGGAAACAGATGGTGCGGCATTGCATATGTGCATCGGGCAGGGAGCTACTGAGCTGGGGAAAGTTAGGTTGATTTGTCAAAAAGGGTTTTTGAAGCCATGAGTGCAGGGCATGCTTTGTTTGGGAAGGGTGTTCCTGAGTACAAATTAAAGAGGCTTGAGTGAAGTGGACATCAGTGTGCTGAGGACTAGCCAGAGAAGACAAGTGGGCCATGGCAGCTGGGCCTAACCCAGAGGGGTACAGTCCTGATCCCATGATAGTTACACACCTCAGCGAACACTGTCAGCAGAAATGAGTACTTGGAGACAAGTGCAGGACCTTGTGTGTGGATCAGGGACACTTTTTCTGGAAGGCTCCCGACAGAAGCAGTTGACAGGTAAGATAAAGGTGAGGAAAAAGGAGGAAGTCACAGGGAGCAGTTTGATGGAAGAGGCTTAAGGTGAGAAGTTGGCATCTGTGACAGCTGAGGCAGGCATTTCCAGCAGCAGCTACCCTACTCCTTCTCTTCCTGACTCTGTGCTAGCAGTGACATATCCATTTAAATGAGCTGTCGGCATGATCCAAGCCAGTTACAGTCTCTAGCTTTTCCTCACTGGAGCAGAGCCAGTTGGTGTCCCTTTAACTGGACAGCACTATTCTGCTTGGAAAGTGAGGAGCAACAGATGATTGCAGTGGGTTCCATGAACACCCTGCTACTCCAGATCAGAGGGATGTGTGAAATCAGAACCCTGCACCTGCTCTTTCACCTGTCTGGCAGCTAGCTGGTCTTCCACTGGGAGGAAGAAAAGTTACTGCCCAAGAATGGTGATTCAGAAAAATAGGTAGACTCCAAAGGCAGAGAGGCAAACATCAACAAAACTTGAAGTCTCTGGCTACTGAAATTCCCACAGAGTTGGGGGCTGCCACCTGAGACCCATTGTTCCTGCCCTCTGAATGACAGGGGTGAGGGTAGGCACAGTGAGGACAATGGCCTTCCAATAGGAGTCCTACAGATCACACATCCAGCACCTGTGCTTCTGCAGTGACTCAACTTACTATTTTTATTCACTTACACTTGTTTTACTGGGACAAGTCACAGTTATTTCATAATTAGGAAGCTTTGGCACCCTAGTCATCCACTCTTCTTTTCAAACGATTAACTACTAGAGAGAAGTTTAACTTCTTTCTCACAAAAATAGCTCTGGAATAACTTTAGACTTTTAAAATCACATTGGTATTCCTGCAGACCTGATAATACTGTTCCTTGTTATCTTACCACTGTGAAGTCAGGGTAGAAAATACATCATCTCTTTCAGATTCCTGGAATAACTTCAAAAGCTCTGGATCCCCAGATAAATGTGCAAGAATGCGCAATTCAATCTGTGAAAAATCTGTGAAGAAGAGTTCTCGGTCAATTTAGATTCACCTCATCACTGATTTACCCCAAGTCACTCTCAGACTGTCTCCCCATGAGGCTCAAGGTCAAAACATTTCTTTCCATCTGTCAGGCTCCCTCAGTCTTTGGACTACAGGCTCTTTTCTATGCCAGCAATTCTACAGACCTGCTCTTCCTCTTGCAAGGTCAGCAAAGCTTCCAGGAGGGACAAAGTTCATTCATTCACCACATCTATCACAATTTTGTGAAGCTCTCCTGTGTGACAGGATCCCACTGGAATGTGTTAATAAATAATATAGACACAGAACCCTTCTTTCATGGAACTTACATTCTAGGAGACATTCTGATAAATCATCTGCTATGTCAGAGGGAGAGAAATGGAAGAATTGGACCAAGGTATGGTTTGGCAGAGAAGCTGGTGTCAGGGTGAGGTGGTCAGCTCCATTGCTTTGGTCCTCAGCAAAATTACAATGAACAAAGACAGAAGAGGGAAAAAGGAAGGGCTGTAGGGGCTTGAAGTACAGGGGCACAGTGGGTAACACGGCTGCTTGAGTCAGCAAGGGGAGGGAATAGGGGGAGGACAATGGAAGAGGAAGCAGATTGAATGAATTATGCCAGGAAAATGAGGGAACCCTGAAAGCCAAACGCCTATTATTATTTAATGTGTATAATAAATCTCTGCTTCATATAAAGTTTGCTTTAAGATTTATTTGCAAGAATGATTTCTATATGCATCTTTGCATTACTTAGTTGTTAAATATTTGAACTGCATGAAATTGCACAAGGTGATCTATAGTGAGAGTGGCATCCCTCCACCATCCTCTGCATGTACCTGCTGCCAGGAAGGTGTGGCCTTCGGAGGAAACAAACAGGGCTCGTGGGGAGATGGTGACAGTCTCCTCTTCTTTGCCTGAATTGTCATTTCAAAAGCATGTGATGAGATTCACTGTCAGCTGACTTGCAGCAATTCCTCATATAGTTATTTTAATGTCATATACAAATAAGTCTAGATTTTTAGTTTTTCTATTATCAAAATTATCTGTTCTGTCTAGAATTATGATAAAGAAAGGAAAAAGTCAGACATTTACACCCAACACCACACTTGTCAAGCAAACACTAGAGAGAGAGCCTCACTGACGGGAAGATCTACGCAGAGGCATGCAGCTATGTGGCTTCCACTGGATACCCACAAAAGGACAGCCAAGACATAGAGGCTGTGGTTTGTCTTTGTTCCTGCTCAAGGTGACTATGTATATTTAGAAAGAGCACTCTTGGCTTTGGTGGTATTATTGTGCCTCCTTCATCAACGGCAGCAGCACTGACATGGCCATGGGTTATAGGAGTGGACATCCTAGCACCCTTTACCAGATTAGAACTTTCCCTTTTTAAGAAATATGACCATAAGCATTACAGTGGGATAGCTCAAAAGAAAGGTTTTTCATATGCTTTTATAAACATCTCCAGAAAACTTGAGATTTTATTAAAAGCCAGGCCATTGTGTGTACTTTTGTTTGTTCTTTATTGGGAAGTTGGTGGGGGAAAGATGGTGGGAGGGGAGATATTTCCCTGGTATAATTACCATCTATTTTAATGTGTAAACTGCTAAAAGGGAGGTACTATATCCTTCAGCTGCTTTTTATTTTTTCAATGTAGGCTTGTACTAATCATGCAAATATAGACGAACACTTCAGGAAAGTATAGCAGTTACATTGCAAGAAAGTAATTACAAACACTTCTGGACTTTAAGAAATGCTCCCAAGATTTCAGTGAGATAGAAAGTAATGTGTTACCTTTAAAATTCTGAGGCATAGAAATCTGAATTGGGTGCTTGGAGATACCTTGGACATTCTGTTAATAAGATAATAGCTTTAGTTAAAATATCTCCTTAACGTAATCTGTACCATTCAAGGGCATTTAAAACATATAGTATTTTCTTAAATATATAATGCCAACATGCCATGCCTATGCAAATGTGAAAGTTTCAATGGAGACACCACTACTCAAAACCAGCAAGTGTGAGAACAGCCTTGACTCTGGTCTGTACGAGCCTGTGATATATACAGTGACTTGGCAGTAGCCTAAATCATGAACTTTCTTAATTCTAAAAGTCCATGTAATATGCTAAAGGTAGATTTCTAGGAAATATGTGTGTTATACTTTAATTTAAAAACACTCTTTAAGCTGGAATGTAGCATTTAATGATCATGTGCAAGGTCCGAGGCTTCATCTTTTGTACTGCCTAAAAGCACAAGAAAATAAATTCACCACCATACTTTATTTATTTATTTATTTATTGTTATTTTTATTGAGATATATTTTTTCTCCACTCCCCCCACTTCCCTCTCCTTCTCCTTCTCCCCTCTCCCATGATCCCTACACTCCCAATTTACTCAGGAGATCTTGTATTTTTCTGCTTCCCATGTGATTAGATCCCATCATACTTGGAAATGAAAGGTCTGCTCTCAGCTTAGTTGCAGCCCTTCCGCTGCTTTTGGTGTTTAGTACCTGCCTCGGCCTTAGCATATGGCTAACAGTGGTGCTCTTGCTTCACACCCTAAAAGTTTTCTTGAGTGCCTTTGCTTTCCACCTCTACCAGGATAATGACAGTGGATGATGATGATGGTACTAATAGATGACAGCCAAGTTCCATCCTGTTCAAATCATGTTTCCACTGTTCAAATCATGAGAATTCCTGTCACTTCACCTTTCTGTGCTTGGCAGTTAAGTGAACAACAGGTTGCTTTGTCTGGTAGTAGAATTTTCTGGGTACTAGCTGGTCTTGACCCACTGATTAGCTATGATGAACTATATTCCAGAGACTGACCACTAAAATCCACCTTGTAGGTGACCCTTTTAGGTCTCACAGAAGCACAAGAGGTATGGGAAAAGCATTTCATCTTCCTTGCACACATGAACTCACAACAGCTGTGGTCACCTGCATCAGATTAACCCAGTTAAAGTTTCTAATGTGGACAGGGAGAGGCCACTGAAGCCTCACCTCTAGCAAGGAGCTACTGAGACTTGATGACTGACAGGAAGAGTCTTCTTTCTTTGTGTGGAAAGTGGACATTAGGAGGGTACTTAGGCTCCAGTGGATTGGTGTGGGACGTCCTTTTGTATATGTGTTGTTTTTATTGGTTAATTAAGAAAGAAGCTGTATTTGGCCTGCACAGGGTAGAGCAGAGCTAGGCAGAGAAAAATAAACTGAATGCTGGGAGAAAGAAGGCAGAGTCAGGAGAAGCCATGTAGCCACCATTGGGGACAGATGTGCAAAACCTTGCTGGTAAGCCACAGACACATGGTGATACACAGATTAATAAAAATGGGTTAACCAAAGATAAAAGAGCTAACTAGTAATACGCTTAAGTGATTGGTCAAGCAGTGATTTAAATAATATAGTTTCTGTGTGATTATTTTGGTTCTGGGCAGCCGGGAACGAACAAGTAGCCACCCCCAAGAGTAGATAACCACATATCCATGAACATCTGGGCAGCACTAATTGAACTCACTGGTTAAAAATAAAATTGGAAAGGATATGTTGGGAGGGTCTAGGAGAATCTGGATTGGTGAGGTGGGGTGTGGATATCAATAACATATTTTATATACATGCATGACTTTTTCAAAGAATAAACAAAATCATTACTCAATTAAGATAACATATGATTTAAAGCAATGTAAAGAAAACCTTATATTGGAATTTTGTTTGCAAATAGTATAGATGCAAAGTATAAACTACTAAAGCAAACCCACAAAACAAACAAAAAAGCAGTCAGCACTAAAAGGCACTTCTAGAACAGAAGAGGAGCTTATCATATAGAATCAGTGACTCCCTGGTTACTAAAATCAGGTAGCAGAAGAAAGAAAATGCTAACCAGCATTCTTAAACATAGGCACAATAATTCTTAACAAATCATTAACAAACCAAACCCAGTAATATACAAAAAGGATTATATATCATGACCAATAGAGAATTGTCTTAGGAATGCACGTTTTTGGAAAAAAAGTCCAAAACTATTAATACATAATATTCATAGAATAAAGGGCTTTAAAACAGTAACATCATAACAGAACAGAAAAGGGCAATGGCAAAATGCAGCATCCATTCAGACTATGTGCCAAATATACACTGAAATTCTAAACTAGCTAGGAAAAGGGGATTTTTTTCCAGCACAGTAAATAGCATGTGCAATGCTTACTCACTCTGAGTAATTTCACTGTTTAAATCTGTACAAAATAGGCCCGTGTGCCCCATCCATCAGAGTCAGACCAGCATCAAGCCAAACTGCAGTTAACACACACAGCTGACGGCTCCTGGAAAGCATGGTAACAGGCCCAACCAGCAAACAGGTACGCAAGTTCTAATAGTATGTCCCACAGAACACAGCATAGTAGCTTCAATGACAGTTGTTTTACTAAAATAAAGAGATTTATTTATATGGGTTTTCTATTAGATCTGAGAAAGTAGGAAATTTAAGTTTATTGTGCTCAGATGAATTACAAAGGAAGATTTTGATTTTATAATATAGCAAACAAAAGTATGGTAGAAAATTCAACAAATATTAAATTTACATAGTGCGTTTTAACCATCCCAAGATGTGTGTGGAGTGGCTTCTGGGAACTCGGATGAACATAAACTGAAGCAGTGCCTTCAACACCGGGAAGAAAACCTGGGTTTCAGTACTCTGTTAATCTACGGTACCTTCTGCCTCTCCTTGACAGCATTATTTTTCTTTTCTGTATTATACACACGGAAGATAGGTTATTAAGCAGAGTCCATAGTTAAGGAAATCACACTGTCTTAGTTGCTTCTCTGCCACTGTGAATAAAGACCGGATTTTTAAAAACTTATATTTTGGCTCCCAATCTCAGAGGGTTCATTGCATCATGGCATGTTGGCAAGAGCATTGTGGATCTCAACAGTTGCAGCACGGTTGGTCAGGAAGCTGAGAAATGGGGATGCCAACACTTGACTGTCATTTTGTCACTTCCCCTCTTTTATTCTGCTTAGGCCTCCAGCCTATGACATGGTATTATCTACACTCAGGGTGGGTCCCTACAGTTGATTTCATAATTGTTCTGGGAGTAGGGCTTGTGGAGAAACAGCATGTCCTCACCACATTTGCATCAGCACTCTACTAACATGCTCCATCACTGCTATGAGCTTAGGTATTTTCTACTCAAGCAGGGTCTCAATAGGTAGCCCAAGTTGGTTTCAACTCTTCGTCTTTCTGACTTTGCCTCCACATGCTAGGATTACAGGCACCTGCCAGCACAACGGATTCATTCATTTTTTCTTTTAATTTTCAAATTTTCTTATTTTATTCTATTTGCATGAATGTTTTGCCTGTCTGTGCCAGCGGAGGTCAGAAGTGATTGCTAGATTCACAAGTTACACATAGTGATGCTTAGTATGAGCCACCATGTGGGTGCTTGGAACTGAACCTGGATCCTCTGCAAGAACAGCAAATGCTCATTTTTAAATTTTATATTTTTATTGTTTTTAATTGAGCAATACATTTCACCCACTCCCCTTCTTCCTCCCTTCTCCATCCCCCCCCCCCCATCCCAATCCCCATGCTCCAAATTTACTCAGGAGGTTCTTGACTTTTTCTCCTTTCTAGGTGAATGCATGTATGTCTCTCTTAGGGTCTTCTTGGCTGTCTAGGTTCTCTGGGGTTGTGGATTGTAGGCTGGTTATTCTTTGCTTTATGTCTAAAAGTCATTAATGGATGAGTACATATAATATTTGTCTTTCGGGATCTAGGTTACCTCACTCAGTATGTTTTTTTTTCTAGTCCCTTCCATTTGCCCAGCAAGTGCTCTTAGCCACTGAGGAGGTCCAGTTCCTCGTTAATGTCTTTTTGTAGATTAATAGACTATTCATTTTTATCATTGAAAAATATTTCTCTGTATGAATAAATCACAGTTTGTTAATCCATTGAAGGAAATTTTGGTTATTTCCATGTTTTAGCAATAATTAATAAATTTGTCATCATATGTATTTATGCTCATATTTTTGTATAGACATAAATTTTCAAGTAAATTTGATAAACTTTATAGAGTTTGATAGCTAGATGATACAGTATTTGGTTTGTATGAATTGCTGAACTGGGTTTATACATTGACTCAGCAAGTAAAGTGTTTGCCACCAAGTCTGGTAACCTGAGTTCCAATTCCTGGAGCTACACAATGGGAGAGAACCAGTGGGCTCTGGCACATGCACATACTTACAAAGAAGTGTGATCAAATTTAAAATAAATCTTTCCTCCTTTAAATCAGTAATCTCAGGTATTTTTACACAGTGATGGAAAACTGACTAAAATGAAGTGAATGTTTGCTTCAATTAACGAACCATTATTAACACATTATAATTAAATTTCAGACTTTATTGCCAAACTTCAGAAGCAACTGCATTTCTCATTCTCACCAGCAATAAATGAGAATGTTATTGTTCCACACCCTCACCAGAATTTCTTTTAAAAGATTAAAAACATTCCCCAATATCTACCTCTGGGTTTTCATTATTTGTGCTACAAGGTGGGCTAGCCAGATGGCTCAGAGGCTAGAGCTGTGGCTACATAAGCCTGACAACCCAAGCTTGATTCCTGGAAGCCAGGTAAAGGTGGAAGGAGAGAACGAAGTTCACAAAGTTAAAAAACTAACTTTGGCCACAAGTACTGGGGAGATGGCTCAGTGTCTAAAAGGACTTGCCATGACTGAAATTTGAATTCCTAGAACTCCTCTGATTAGAACCCACATAAACGCTGGGTTGGCCCTTCTGTATTTCAGCTTAGAAAGTTGAGGCAGGGGATCCCCACAGCAAGCTAACTAGGGAGACTGACTAGCCT